AATAATCTCTCGAAAAATAAAACCGTCTCCATGTTGGATAAAAAACTTCAAAGCTCGAGTATTCTCGTGAAATGTCGTTGAAGCAAGCATATACACTCGAGATCCCTGAGATCGGGTAGGCGTGGCCGCATGTTTCAACTTATCCTTAAGGCGTTTACGCTTCTGATGCGATATTTTCATCTCGACACAATCGTTGTCGTGTCTCTGTCCAACACAGAACAAGATGACAGTTGTCCCAGACTGGAATATTCCACTAGTAACCAGTTCCTTTACAGTGTTCGAATGCTCCGCCTACCCGATCTCAGGGATTTCAAGTATATGTGATACTAATAGTTCAATCAATTTGCTCAATTTAGGTCAACTATCAAGGTCGTGGGAAATTCCACATCAAAGGACAATGGATTGCTGCAGCCGTGAGTCGCTTCCTGTTCTTCAAAACTCTACCTCCTCCTGATTAACAGCATCGTGCAGTCTTGTCCACTGTGAATGCTGGGCGTGTCAGGGGGCTGGATCCGGCGCGGCGCCAATCAGTTCTTCAACTATTGTAGAAACGAGCAAGCGACAACACTTGGTAAAGAGGGCTATCGCCGCGCCAAATTTAGCTCCCCCTCCCCCCACACCCTACCTGAAAAGCATGGCCTTAATGACACGTCCCATCATCCGCAGGGACAAAATTGGTCATGATCATCACTACAGCACATCAAGGATGTGAGCTAATTGGCAGAAATCAGACCAGATGACGTTGAGGAATCATCTTGCTTTGCGAGGTATAAGGCGCATTTATTCAAGGCGCACACGACGACGCGCACGAAAAGTTTTCTAGACACGCGAGGGGCTGCCCACCAGAAATTAGGGTTCTTCAGAAATCAGGTTCCTCTATTGAACGCGACGTGTCACCGTATTTCGGACTGAATTTGAGCTGTGAAGCTACGACGCGAAACTCTCGCCTTTCTATATTAGGAATTTGTAACTGTACAACTTCTAAATTCAAATTCCTCAGGTCTTCGAATTTTTGATGGCCCTTCTATTCATTGGTGACTTCTTATTACAACGTCGTGAGGTGAGTCGTTCGATTTCAGACTGATC